AAGTTTTCTTATTGGTTCATTACATATCACATATCTTAATCTGTTTCTCCTAGTGGATTATAGATTAAGTTAATTATAGATTCAGTTTTGAAAACCCTCAGCAGCACTGTTTCAAATCAGTATTTAGACCAGCAAATAAACTGCTTCACTCTGTTTTTTTTAAAAATATGTCACATTTATTTATGCATATGCATCATTTCTATTTTTCATTAGGACAGTGATCCAGCCAGGCATCTCCCATCCTGATATTCAGATGTTGCACCCAATTAACTTGGAGTTTTTTGTAAATCGGAATCTAGCTGCATCTTGGTACCACAAGGTGCCTGTTGTAGAAATTAAAGGACATCTTGATTCAATGAATGTAAGTATGTGAGTGAAGAAAACTTCGTTATTGAAATCTTAAACTCTGAAGACTTTCTCAGTATAAATCCAAAGGAAATGTAGAATTTTATACCGAATGGCGTAAGAAAAATTTCAGTGAGACATTGTCCAACAAGGTCCTTATTTTCAGTAGAATTTAATCTTCAGCTAAATGTTACTTAACTTTTAAATTCACTATACGTACACATTGGTAGAGATTGGTGTGCAAATTACTTTTTAGCATATTATATTATATCTCATACTATATATTTATACACATGTTTTTGTTGTTAGGGATATCTGAGTACTCCTGTGATAATTATAGCATTGAGGGAAATGCCTATTTTTTTAATATTGAAGACAACTCTATATCATTGGAATTATTATTCTTATAAAAGAATTTATGCATTGTCTCAATTTGTCACTTTTTTAAGTTGATCAGATTTTTTTATCATAATTTTCAGTAAAGATAATATGTTAAGTCATTGGATCTAATATTGAATCATAGATTACATTGTTCTTCTATAAATGTTTTATCTTTGAAAATAAATATTTTAACATGAAACAAGTAGTAAAGTACTTGAGTGGGTAGTTATCATTAACTTTTCAGTCAGTGTTAGTTATTATCCTGTCCTTTGTGTTTTGTTACTATGAATTTATTTTCTGTATTAAAATTGTTTCATTTTAAAATGTAATATATTTATCTTTTCTTTTAACAAACATACTGAAGCCATTAGAAGCTAAATTACCTAAATTCTTTTCAAATAAACTGCTGAGAAGACTTTGATCTTGTTAGCTGACCACACAATGA